ATCTGTTATCTCTTACAATACAAACAAGAACATTTTTCCTAAACTTAATTACTTGAGATAAATTTAATTATTATCTGTGTTCTTTTGTACTTATTTTTATTACAGCTGTTGAAATTTGAAGAACATACTGGAAAATTACCTCAAATAGGAAATAAAAGAAAAACAAATTTTTTATTTTTGCCTCTCATGATAATTAACTATATGTCTTGGCTAAGTCAAATGCTCTTCCAAAATCAACATTTTCTCATTTGTTAAATTTAGGGTGGACTCCATTGTGTATATGATTTGCAATTGATACATACAATTGCATTTATTCGTGGGGTACAGAATATTTCGAACACATAGTGTTGGTGATCAACTCAGAGTTTTTGGCATGCCCATCTCCAAGCCCAACAAAGTTTGTTGAGCTTAGCTTTTCTTTTCTTTTCTTTTTTCCTTTCTTTGTTAGTCTTTTTTTTTTTTTTTTTTTTTTTTTTTTTCCTCTTTGTTAGTCTTTTTTTTTTTTTTTTTCTTTTTATGCTTGAGACTGAGACTCATTATGCAGCCTGGGATGGCCTCAAATTCTCAATTGTAACCTTGTCTCATTTCCCCAGTGCTAGATCTCCAGGCACACACCACCACACCTGCTTGTGATTTTCAACCATATGAGTAAAAAATCCACTGTGTTGAACTCTTAGAAAGCCAGAAGTGTGTGTAAAAGATGAAATCACCTGTGTCCCCATCACCTAAAAACACTTAAAATTTTTTACTTCCTTCATTATGCTATAACTTTCTCTGTGGGCTTGTAATTGGGAATTATAACTGCCAAATCATCTAGTTGCTTAATTCTGTATCTTCTAAGTAGCACATACATTTAAAGTTGGATAATACCATAGATTCAAGCTAAAAAAATTCTGTGCTTCTCTGCTCCTCCTTGTCCTACACATCATTATCTTGGAGTCCTATTTCCAGAAGCAAAACTTTTTAATTTTTACTATTTTGTTTTAGATATTTGTGGCCTGCTATACTAATTTTTAAAAATAGGGTTTCACTGTGTAGCACTGAAGGTTGCTATGTAGACCAGGCTGGCCTAGAACTCACAGAGATCTTCAGGCCTCTGCATCTCAAGTATTGGGATTAAAGAGTATGCAACCATGCCTGGCTTGAATGCTGATTCTTTTTTATTTTAAATTTTTTTTTGAGAATTTCATACATGCATATAAGATGTTTTGATCAAATCCATGCCCACTCCCTCCCCTACAACTCCTCCCATATCTCCCCTTCACTTTTTCCTGACAACTTCCTGTACTCTTTCATTTTATAACCGGGCTTTTTGCTACTTTAACATTCCCCCCTCTGAAAGGTAACCCTAAAATCTTTTAAGGATTAGATAAAAGCTCTCAAATACTTTTGACACTTTTTGCCTTTGGAATGGAGTATGTTGCTAAGAGGCCCAAGAACATTTTGACTTTTATCCAAGAAACCGGCTACTTTTCTTTGGGGGTCTTTTTACCCCAACTGCCTAGCCAATTCCTACCTCTTATTCTTATCATGCCATCCTCTGAAGAGGTTACCCAACTTGCCAGTAGGGAATAGGGACGTATGTCAACTGCTCTGGCTTTTTCCATGCTGAACGGGGATGAAGGGTGAGGCAATTGGGGTACCCCTTCAGTGGGTCTATCTAAAAGACTCCCAAATTGAATGCTGATTCTTAAATTTACTTTTGTTCATCACTCATTTTATTTCTATAACCTGAGATTCAATTATGTCTGTTGCTACATACTGCCCTTATATCTTAAAAAAAATATTAACCACTCTAATCTAAACAATATTATATATTAGGTAATCATTTTTAAACAGTATTATTTGTATTAGTCACAGCTCAATTATTTTTAGTTAATTCACCTTTTGGTTTTTGGGTTTTACTCATTACTTTCATCCTTTCCTGTTTCCCTGTCAATATCTGCTGACGGCCAGCCCTGCAACCTCTCCGTCCATCATTCCATCCTGAGCTTGTCGCCCGCTGCTGCCGTGTTCATGCTCTGACCACTGCTGGCTCTTCTCTGAGTGGCTGCAGTGCTGGGGCCCGTACATTGACCTCACCATCAAATACAGCTAGACTCAACACTCCTGCCTCTAATTCTAGAGTCTTCTGGATTACAGCTTACACTTGCTTGCTTTTTCCAAGTTTCTTCTATGAAGGCATTTAGCAAAGGGGAGAAACTTGAAACCCCTGTCAGTTATGAAGGTGTCCTGTGCATCTCATCTTAATTTTTTTGCTATCAAGGCCATGTGACTAACCCTCTTCTATCACCTTTTCACTGCTGTTGTTTTTCTGGTTAATTAAATACTTAATACTTTTTAAAAATTCTTTTACTGCAACCACAGAGGTCTTCTAAAGAACGTGCAGGTTCCTCTGCTGTGTGCAGCTTGAAGCTCAGAATACCAGGTCACAAGGAAGTCACGAGAATAAAAGCTAATGGTGTAAATGGAGGTAGTTCATGCCGCATGACATCCTGCAGTACCACGTACTATTACAGTGCACTGACAGTTCTCCAGACTTCTGTTAGTGACTACAAGTGAGAGCTCATTTACAGTGTTAAGTCAGTTACTTCTGACTTTTATATATTTTCCTATTCATAAATCCGCACCCTTACTACATTTTCATCCAGCTGCTTTTGAAAATATCTAGAACCAGGGAAAATAAAATTTGAAAATCGTTGAAATATGTACTAATTTCCAAGTAAGCAGCTTTAGACACCAAATGTAAATCAGTAAATAACAGTTCTTCCACAGACGAATTTCCATTCTAGCAAGAGAAGACACAAACTAGTCTAGTCTACAGCTATGCAGTACAATTAAGTGCTACTAGAAAATAAACTTCATCATGACTAAGGGGGTAGGGCATGCCAGGGTAAAGAGGCTTCAATTTAAAGTAAGGTTGTTCAGAATGGACCCCACTGGAGAGGTGACTTAAAAATAAGACTAAAGAAGGTGTGGGGGGCAGCAATTTTGATACATAGAGATGATGGCAGCAAATGCAAGGAGCAGCAGAGCTAACCCTCCAGAGACAGGTCAATACACAGTAGGGCTCAGAACAGTGCTTCCTGGAGAAATGAGTGAAAGAGAGCATCCTAAGAAAGGGAGCTGAGACAGGATCAGCTCAATCACATTCGTGCGCCAAAATCTTTGGCATTTTCTCTCTCTAAGGTGGAGTACCAAGAGAGTACTGTCCTGACATTGTGAAAGATTGCTCTTCATATCAAAAATGTGCTATGAAGTAGATGAGTGCATAATTAAAGACTGTATTTCTGCACAGTGTATATTTTTCAGCGCTGGAAAGAAAAAACGATCAAGCTGTGAAAGACATGGAGGAAAGGTATATACATCTTAAAAAGTCAAAGGAACCAAACCAAAAATGCCTCATACTATATGATTTTAAGTGACTAATATTCAGGAAAAGGGAAAATTGTGGAGACAATAAAAATAATTGGGCAGCCAGCAGTTAGAAGAAAGGAAGGGACTCAGATATAGAGCCAGAATATTTCAGGGCAAAGAAACTAAGGTCCTCTGATGGTGGTGGTTAATGTCATCACAAATTCGGTCTTTCCATAGAATGTGCAACACAACACTGTGATGATGATGTGTCAAAGAAAGTTCATCAGGTGTAGCAAATGTGCCAATCTGGTGGAGGATATAATAGCGTGGCAAACTGCACATTGTGCAGACAAGAGACATGGGAAGTGTCTACAGCTCAATACTGCTGTGAATCTAAAACTGTTCTAAAACTTTAAAAAGATTTTCCTGGCTGCTGTGTTATACATAGAATACTAGAAAATGTAGCCTGGGGCCAATGGACCAATTTAGATTTCCTGCAGGGCTCCAGCAAGGATCCACAGCGACAGTTCATACCACAGATGTGTTATACGGGAAACCCTTGAGTCTAGATGCATTCTGAAAGTAGATCGAACAAGACTTCCAGGTAGCATAGATACAGGAAGCAGTACGAATAGAAGGTATAAGGACTACTCCACCTCCTTTGGGCTAAGCAATAGGAAGACTGGAAAAGGTTCTGATGATACAAGCTTGGGAAAGATTAGAAGTTTAATCAAGTTGAATTTGAACTGCCTATTGATAACCAACTAGATATGTTAGTTGTTTTATACAACATATTTGACAGCTGAATACTATATGTTATCTGCCATGGATTTTTTTCCCTGCCCCTGCCTCTCCTGATGGTTACTGATGAAAGAGACATTGGAAAGGTCTCATTGCTACTTATGTAGTCAGAGTCTTCCAATAAAACAATGGCGTCTATACCCAAGTTCCTTCTTATGGCAAAGCCCGAGGGACGCAAGAAAGACCTTGAACTGTGGAGTTCACATTCAGTAAGGAGGACCAGGAGACCTGCTGCCATACTGGAATTGCATATGATTCATGTTTTCGGCAATCTCCTGGATGGGGAATAGGACTTCTTGTCCTGAGACTTGTGCTCTTTTCCTCTCCCTTCCTGTTTGCCTTTCTCCTTCAACTCCAAGCTTATTATTTTCTTCTATTCACCCCTTTCACCCTAGCTCAGTGTTCTTTTTCTGGTACTCGCACTAGATCTGCTTAAATTTCTGTTTAGGTCATTGTTAAATTATGATGTGTTTTACCGAGTCTGTACTCTGTAAAGACCATTAGGGTATCAAATAATGTAATGTGAAATGCAGTAGAATGCTAATCTATGCAAATGATTTCTAGTGCTGATTTCTGTCTCCTTAAGAACTAATGAAGAAAAGCTAACTTTGTTGTCAAGGCTGAAAACACAGCAAAACAGTGCTGGTTCATTATTAAAGCATCCCCACAACTGAAATTATTTCCCTATACCCGTTCTTTTGTCTATGTTTTTACTTGTTCGGGCTTTATAATAGATCTTTATAGTAGATGTCCAGGAATATCTACTAAATGAAAGAATTGTTCCTAAACTTGATATTCTGGAGTTACAAATATTTCTAATAAATTCCATTGATGATCCAGGTCTAAAATTGGCTTGTTCTTAAAATTTCTTCATATGGAGGTGGAGGACCTAATGCACCAAAACATGGAGCTGGGTACTGTTCGGGGTTTTGACTTGGAAGGTGAATTCTGGTTGCTGGACTCCCGCTTTCCAGGGCAGCTGCCCCTGTACCTGGGAAAAAAATAGATGCAAACCTGTCATTTTTCTAGGCAATGTAGATTGAAGTTCATGAATGACTTGCTGAAATCTGGTGTTTCTTAGATTACTAGAGCAAGAGAAAATTATTTATACCCTTGAGGAAAAAAAATTACAATTGTCTTCTCCACAGGGATAGCCTAGTCACTATAACAAGACGATTCCTTAGAACAAACTGACTATACTGTTACTCACAAACCATCTGAAAGACTTTATGTTTTAGCAACTGAAACTGAAGAGAAGTATTGTCTTTTAGGGCTCACAAGGAGGATTCCTCTAAACACTAATGTTGTTTAGTTAATGATCCTGTCATGGGAAACTCGTGTCTCACTAGGAACATTAAACTATCACTAAATTCCACTGTGTTATATTTATGTTCTTAATCTTCAGCAAATGCAAATAGTTAAATGTTTCCTTGTAATAACTAATAAGCATGCTGAGATAAGTGGTGACATTTGCACTTAAAATATAATGAAGAGAAGACATTCTAAATTAAAACCAAACTTTCAAATCAATTTTGTGCTAGATGATATACAATGCAACCATTAAATAAACATTTCTTTTACAAGCTGGTATCCTTGAATTCCAATGGCTTTGGAAATCAGTATTTCTTTGAAAGACCATTTTTGAGTTGTGGAAAAGAATCAATAGTAACATTTTATAACCCTTTCTTTTTGTACACATACATTTTTTTAACCTGGGTCTTTACTAATTCTGAATGGTTTTGATTTCTTCTTTCCTAAACAGTAGTAACAACCATAAATTCATCTTTAAGAAAGACTATAGATCCATGAACTAAATCCAGCTCTTGACTTTTTTATACATTAGCTTTAATCAAAACACAAACATTGCCATTCATTTACATATTGATTATGTCTGCTTTTGAACTATAAGAACAGGGGCCATTAATCCCCACAGAATGGTAGAGACTGCAAAGCCAAAATCTTTTTCTACTTGTCCTTTGACAAGAAGACGCTTGCTTATCTTCCTTAAAGGATCCAAATTTGGTAGCATTGTGTGGATTCCAAAGAACATGCCACAGTACTGAAAGAATTCTGAGTATTTGTTTATTAGACATTGGCTCAAGGCTGAAATCCATAGGTGGATTACTCAAAATGATTATTTTGTATGTGTTTTAAGATAACTTAGAATCATGTTTTTATTCATTTGTCTTCTTTCTTATCTTGCTGGTCCTAAGAGCAAAACACAATATTTCAATTACTAATATAACATGAGAAAGATAAAACTGTATTAAGTATGCTTCACCTCGCCATTCAGTATTTTTTTCAGACTGTTATTTACTTAAATAATTCATCTTTAATGTTATTATATAATACTTACCTCACCTTCCTCTTCTGCAACAAAAGGATAATGAAAGTATCTATTTCTTTTTTAAAATATTTTATTTAGAGACTGCCAGAGAATGCCAAGTTCTGGCCTCCTTCTGGCCACTCTCTGACAGAGGGGCTGAGAATGCCTGAGAGCCCCTAGATCCTGCCCCCACGTGGTGCTATCAAAATACCTGAAAGCAAATCCTAAATCCATCAAGGAGTCCAGCCTTGGCAGACAAAATAAAAATGAGGAGGAACCCAGTAGAATGATGCTTTAGGAAGCCCTTGTCAAGAAATTCCAATGGACTCTCATATGAACATTTGAAAATTGCCCTGTTCTGACTTTTTTCTAGTTCCCTGTCTAGAATTTGTAATGCTAATTACTCTTGCCTTTACTTCTCCTTCACATCTCCTATTCATGATTCAAAGACTTTCTTTTCCTCCTCAAGATAAGAGTTATGAAATTTGGGAGTCTTTTAGATAGACCCACTGAGGGGGTACCCCAATGCCTCGCCCTGCATACCTGTTCAGCATGGAAGAAGCAATAGCAGTCTGTATCCCTATTCTCTATTGGCAATTTGGGTAACCTCTTCAGAAGATGGTGTGATAAGAATAGGAGGTAGGAATTTGCTAGGCAGTTAGGGTAAAAAGACCCTAAAGAAAAGTAGCCAGTTTCTTGGCTAAAACTCACAATGTCCTTGGGCCTCTTGGCAACCTGCTCTCTTCCAAAGGCCAAAAATGTTGAAAATATTTGGGAGCTTTTATCTAATCCTTTAAAAATTTTAGGGTTACCTCTTCAGATGGGGGAATGTAAGAGTAGCCAAAAGCCCCATAAAAAAAATAGATAAATCAAAGAAGAAGAAAGAGTACATGAAGTTATCAGAAACTCACAATGTCCTTGGGCCTCTTGGCAACCTGCTCTCTTCCAAAGGCCAAAAATGTTGAAAATATTTGGGAGCTTTTATCTAATCCTTTAAAAATTTTAGGGTTACCTCTTCAGATGGGGGAATGTAAGAGTAGCCAAAAGCCCCATAAAAAAAATAGATAAATCAAAGAAGAAGAAAGAGTACATGAAGTTATCAGAAAAAAGTGATAAATTTTAGGGTTACCTCTTCAGATGGGGGAATGTAAGAGTAGCCAAAAACCCCATAAAAAAATAGATAAATCAAAGAAGAAGAAAGAGTACATGAAGTTATCAGAAAAAAGTGATGGGGAGATATGGGAGGAGTTAGAGGGAGGGTGTGGGCATGGATTTGATTAAAACACCTTATATGTATGTATGAAATTCTCAATAAAATATTTATTTTAAAATATTTTATTTATTTATTTGTATTTTATGTATATAAGTGCATTGCCTGCATGTATGTAAGTGCACTTGTGTCATGTAATGCCTGCAGTGGTCATAAGACAGCATTAGATCATCTGGAACTGGAGTTACAGATGGTTGTTAGCCGCCATGTGGTTGCTGGGATTAGAACCTGGGTCCTCTGCAAGAACAACCCATGCTCTTAACCTCTGAGCCAACTCTCCAGACCCCCCTTCTTTCTTTAAAAAAATATTTTATTTATTGAAAGTGTCTATTTCTACAAAAGCAAGGCTAATAGTGTGGAGATGTAGTGAGGAACTTGACTAGCATGTGGGAGGCCCTTGGTTCATTTCCCAACGCTGAAGGAAAAACAAAGGAGAGCTAAATGCATGGAGAGTGTTTAACATGAGCCTGTAAGACAGCAGAGTTACTATTATTAGAATGTATAAACCAGGACTGTGCTATGTTAGGAATCTATACAACTGTAAAAATTGATATCCATTATATTCTAATGGAGAACAATGACCTGATCATCATCAGTATTAGCTATAACAAAAATCAATAAACACAAAATATAGTAAAAAAAAAAAGGTGGTGTTCAGAAGCTTAGACTGACATTGTCTAAGATTGGAGTACTGAATTAGAGTTAAAGTTGGTCAAAATTTCTTTTCCTTAGTGATTCTTTCCATTCAAAATACTTGCAATGAACAGTGGCTATTTTCCTGGTAAATTTCCCTTGATGTAGTCAGTACAAAGTCTAATAATTTAGTCTTCTGCCTAGAAATAGTTGGCCAATAGGTCTGACACATTTGATTTTGCTTATTTATTTTTATTTTATGTATATGAATACTTGTCTGCACCTTGTGTGTGCCCATGTGCATGCAGTGCCCTCAGAGGCCAGAAGAGGTCATAAGATCCAATGGAACTAGAGTTACAGGTGGTTATGAGGCACCATGTGGGTGCTTTGTAAGAGCAGCCCGTACTCTCGCACACTGAACCTACTCTCCTGCCCCACTATTTTTAATGTTAGTTTTATTTCTCCTGTTGAATGCATTAAAATTGTGCTTGAAGGGATAGACTCTTGACTATGGCTCTTTGTGGTATGAAACTTTTACTATATCCTTGCTATAAATTTAGTGGTTGTTCTATGCTTGATATGGAACCACAGACATTCTATTGATATACATAATTAAGCTAAGGATCTTGGAAAATTTGGAAATTAAAGAGAAATCAATTTCCAATTTTTTCAGAGCACAATTATATACAATTTCATGTGGTTGGAAGTAGGTTGAACAGGGTTTATTTGTTTATTATTTAATTAATTAATTAATTAATTAATTAATTATAGGACATATGTGGAGGTCAGAGGATAACTCTTGAGAGTTGGGTCTCTCCTTCCACCATATAAGTCCGAGGGGTCCAATGCAGGTTGTTAGGCTTGGTAGCAAGTGACTTTACTGACTGAGTCATCTCCCCAGCACTATTTTTATCTTTTCGAAAGTTAGGAACCAAAGAAAACTCAGTTTAAAATGATTGTAAAAAGCTTATAGTTTTGTCAGAAAATTATTCTTTAAAGCATCCATTTATTACTCAATTTTGTAAAATCAACACGTTTACTATTGAATTATTATAACCAGAGTTAAGATTTCCTACTGTATTAGTTTCTTTTCTGTTGCTGCACTAAAACAACATGACTAAGGGAACTTCCAAAAAAAGAGCTTTCCCGGCATGATGGAGCATGCCTTTAGTCCCAGCACTCAGAAGGCAGAGGCAGGTGGATCTCTGAATTCGAGGCCAGCCTGGTCTACAGAGTGAGTTCCAGGCCAGTTGGGGCTACAGGGAGACTATCTCAAAAAGACAAAAAAAAAGGTAAGAGTTTATTTGTCTTACAGTTCAAAAGGGGCAAGAGCCTATTACAGCAAGGAGGCATGATGGCAGGAGATGGCTGGAGCAGAAAGCCCAGTGATCACTTCCAGCAAGCATAGGAAACTAATGGACACAGTTTCAACAGAAATGATTTAACTTGAGGCTGGATAGATGGCTCAGTGGTTAAGAACACTGGCTGTTCTTTCAGAAGACCCGGGTTCGAATCCCAGTACCCACATGGCAGCTAACAACTGTCTGTAACGCCAGTTCTAGGGGATCTGATGGCCTCTTCTGTCCTCTGCAGGCATTGCACAACATGGGTGCACTTCCATGCATTCAGGCATAACACTCATACACATAAAATAAAAATAATAAAATATTTTTTAAAAAAGAAATGATTTAACATCCTCTTTTTTTTCTACCTCTTTCCTTTCCTACTCTACATTGAGTCTTACTATGTA